TTTTTTTTTTTTGGATTAGCAGTTTGTTGTACAACCTAGCAGCAGTAATTTATATTGTGCTAAAGATTATGCCCACCCACTTATTGAGAGCAGGAAGGTGCACACTGTATACCTTTGAAAGGACAGTTGAAGGAATCCTTTTTCTGACTTGCGCGTCTCTTGCCAGCTCAGATTGGAAATTCAGCTTGCGACTTATCGCATTAAAAATATTACTAAGTAATCATTGTAATATCATTGCCTTTGTCAAAAAAGAAAAATGAGGAGGGCTAGTAACGTCGGAGGAGAAGCGAATGACAGGCAATTGTTCATAATAAGCGTCCTGAAAAATCGAAGAGGAACTACCGCATTCACTCCCCATCTACGGTGCTTTCCACGAATTACGTTATTTTCCGGCACAAGTCTATCATAAAGGCTCAGTATTTTGCCTTTTCAGTATGTTTAAATTATTTTGTAAGCGTGTTGCTGCTTCTACACGAATCGTGATATTGTTACTGCCGCAGTACACTGAGATGTCTGATTGCAGATACATCGAGAGTGAAAAACCATGGCTTAGGATTGCGCAAGGAATTGTTGCTCCCAGACTCTTACTTTTAAAAAATTTTTGACAAGTTTTGCAAGCTTTACCACAGCTTCGGAAGCGTTTGTATTGATTTAAGCAGTCAAATCCAACACTCAGTGAAAAACTGTGTGGAAGTTTGGCTGGATGGAACAAAACCTTCTCAAATGGCAGAGTGTTTGTCACATTCACGACCGATTCAACTGGAACTGGAAAGGTTTTCACTACTTCTTTACTGTCACTTTTTCGCCTGCTTTTCTTAGCACGAGTTCAGCTCATTCAGCTGCGCGTTTTCGCACTCCGTTCAACTTCACTGCATTCCTTCATGCTTGTTCTGTTCAGCTCGGCAGTGCTCTTGGATTCGACCCAGAAATTAATTCTTTTGAAATTTGTACCTCTCTTCTCCTTACACGGAAGTGTTTTCCGGCTGCATAGTAATCACAGCTAAAATAAGCAGGATTTGTCAATTTACCAGGACATTAACCCTTTACTTTTTTCTGTAATAAGTAATGGCAACTGTACACAGAGATGAAACAGTATAATGTGTATAAGTTCGAAAAAAAATCTCCCGGCCGTAGCACAAGAAATAGCTATAAAAGTTTAAAAATAATGGCATCTGTTATTGTTTATTCAGTGGCTATATCTTGTTCAGAGTAAAGCTTCTCCACGTTAATTTTGTTCAGGGATTTGTGCTACAATTGACGGAGCAGCTTCACGATTGCAGTTCTGATCGGCTTGTGCTCAATGAAGGTGATCCACCCAAAATACTCACTTCACCCGAATTTCCAAAGAGTAAGCATTGGTAGCTCATCGAAAATTTATGGCAAGGAAATCAAACATTTTAATGAATTTACAAAAATTGGAGAATATATATATAAAAAAAAGGCGGAAAACAAGTGAATATTTTCAGTGTCACCGAACTCTCTGGACTGCGTTTGGATGATCAGCGCACCTGGTGGTCATCGTATAAAATTCACTGTTGATCCGACCACATTCGATCTTCAGGACTCTTCACTGAGAGAGTTGTTTATTTTGCACAATTTTACATGCGTCGCAAAGTTTTTCCATCCAGCATCAATGATGTCTCTCGAACTTTTTTAATTAGCAGGTGCGCGGACGATTATCTGGAGATACGAGATGGTCCATCCAAGCTTTCTCCGCTTTTTGGTAGGTACTGTCGCAGTGAGCCTCCGAGTACAATCTACAGCACCGGGTCGTATTTACACATTCGTTACCAAACGGATTCGTTTGCTCAGTCTTCTGGTTGGAATGCTACATACGAAATTGGTGATTCTTTGAATTCGAAAAAATATTTCGTTATTTCTTTGACAAAAAGAGAATTTACTTAGCTTCAGATGCTAAATGGACGCAAGAAGGCATAAAAGCTGTGCTGAAAAAGCCAAAACTTAGTTACATATAAAGCTTCTTACAATATAGCATCAGGTTGATGTTTAACAGAGTGTAGTGGTTTGTTTAATTAAAGATTTTTAGTTAGGCTAAAAATTGAAAAGTGGCTCAAAAGCTTCTTTGTTTTCATCCAGTGTAAAAATTTTACTTGCCAGCAGTCACGGTTTTCTGTTTTTAGCGTCATGTGGTGGAAGTATTGTTATTCCGGTGAATGGTAGCAGCGTGCTCCGTAGTCCGCACTATCCTGAGCCTTATCCGAGTCAAGCCGAGTGTGATTGGACAGTAATGGCTCCACGAGGCCATTATGTCAATGCAACGTAAAAGTTTAAATATCTCAACTGTTTGATTTATACAGTGAAATTACCAAAGCATTCATTTTAAAAGTTTTGGGAAATCAAATCTGGCCTACGGTTGTTTATTTTTCTCCCGAAAATTTCACACGGTACTCTTCTTTTTTACACAGTTATAAGTGAAGCTTAATAATAGTTAATCAATACTCTGCACATCTCTTACTTGCTTCTAGCAGCTTGAGACATGCAGCTCAAAATAGAGTGGCTTAGTAAAACTGCAGGCGGCGTAGTGTGCTTGCTAACAATACTACCCATTTTGGATCTCCAAGCCGACCATTTGGACGTTCAAGGCTCCAGAAGTATTTGTTTTGGCTCCAGTGATGTCATAGTTCGAGACCCATTGAAGTTAAAAGGCTAGTATTATGACCCTGAGCTCTCCCAGCACCATAAACTAACTTACCAATTTTTTCATTCTTCAAGCTTGTCGAATCACGGTGTTGAAGATGCATAATGAAAACACAAATATGCATGCATAATTAGGATATTGTCAGTGTGCATTTTTATATTTACATAAGTGCGAAAACACATAGAACTAACTATTAATTATTGCTGTTATCATCAATATTGTTATTTTAACTATTATCTTCATTATTAGCGAAATCGTTAACACTACGGCCTAAAGAGCGCGGTCGATAATTTAATGCATGCGCTTGAAAACTTGCAGATTCGATCATCTGTGGATGTCATTCACGGAGAATTGTACAGATGATTATGTTGCTTTGCGTGAGCGCAATGCTACTGGTACGTGTTATAGATAAAGGATGTTTTATCGCATATGTGCGTGAGACTGGTGGCTTTGATGTAATTGTCAAATAGAATTGCCATTACGCCAGAGGTTCGTAGACTGAACTGCGTCAGTGGGAAAAACAGTCTCTCTGCAAACTGCTCATTCGTTTCCACATGCCACCATCACCATGATTTTAGTCCTGGAAGATGGAACACCAATAGCTCTGCTCATAAATGATTGTTGCTGGCATCTACCACGGCAACTCGAGCTAATTCTGCTTCTAGTGGGGGTAAATTGGAAACATTTTGACCTGTGAATTAGGCTCATGAATTGTCATTCTATAGTTTGAGGATCAATTGCATGTTGATTTCTCGGCTGGTAACACAGGGCTAAAGCATGACACATTTTGTGCGGCCTGTCACGTTTCGAACGGTCTCTGTCTGGCCCGGTTTAATTGGTAAATAAAAACCTAGGCGGATGTGGAGTATATGTAACAGTACCCATTGGGGCGAGTGTATGATTTAAAAGTAGCATTCGATTTGTGCTGCACCATGAAAACTGTTACAGTATCGTTGCAAACAGTGATGAATATTAACAACGATAAAGTTAAACACAAATAATGCACATGAATATGATTAGGCGAATATATACTGGAGCCATCATGCATTTGGAATGCGGTACGTGGCAAACATTTCACGTCAGTACGAAACGTGATGGATGTTGCATTCCGGTCGAACAATTCAGTTGGGCGATCAAGTCGGCTGTTTTGTCTGGAAAGAAAGTGCGGGTTTCAGCTGAATATTGCATCAAGTAAAATAGGTTCGTCTTTAGTACTGCCACGGGCAGCAAGTATCAAGTTTATCTTTGGTAACATACATAAGAGTCTGGGTGTTTCTATTTTTCAAAGTGGCACTAGAAAGTTTTATAGTTTGACATGTATCCTCGTACAGTCGTCCTTGTTTGAAACTGACACTTTTTGGAGGATCTTTGTATTGCGTATGTATCAAGGGGTCTTGCAACTTTTGTTATGCAGGCAAGTCTGTTTCTGCAAGTTGTTGCAGAGTGTGGAGGAGACATAAGCGATGACGCGGGTCGGATTACGACCCCTGGTTACCCTGGTCAACTGCACCCGCATATCTTTTGTGAATGGTTATTCAGAGCAGGAATCGGCTACCGCTACGTCTTCGACTTTGCTTTCATAAAACACGAGGTAAAATGTGGTGAATTCCGCAGCAGTTTCACTTCGTGTTTGATCGCGGTAGTATCCCGTTTCAGCTAAATCTTTTAATCTTGTTTGAAGCGGAATACTATGCATAAAACAAATAGCAGCTCAGCCCCTCAATAGAAGAAATCGATTTGGAATCAATTTTAATGGTGGACGCGAACGTAACCTCTGAAAGCTTTGCCAGTGAATGGTGGTTATTTTTGACAGCTTTTACTGCTAGGGCTATTTCTCGATCCTTCCACCTGTCTTAAACAACAAGTACGAAAGATGTTTTGACTTCTTCATTCACAAAGTTCTAATATCATGGAACTGAAAAAATATTCTTTAGAAATTCTAAAATTATCCTCTTCCTCAATAAATTTCTGGCTGATCGTTTTTTGATAAATCTCACGAACAGAACTGCTTTTTGAAAGGGGTTGTGGCGCAGCTGGGAATTGAATCACTTGTCTTTACATCGAAACGTGACGTGCTAGACTACTGCGCCATCGGCCGTTGTTATCGTCGCACCTGCTGGTAGGACACTTGTAATCCCGTATATATTGTTTGTTGTATGACTGCTACACCCTGTACGGCATATCCTTTCAACAACTGTCGAATTTTCGCGGAACGTCCGCAACAACAAACGGTCAAAAACGAATAAGCCGAACAGTCTTTGGATATGATCTGTGTCTAAAAATTAGTATTCTGAAAGTGGCAACAAACCAGCTTCTATTACAGCATTTTTCTAGAATAATGCGATTCATTTCCTCTTGATTACTTCTTGATTTCTTACAGAATTTCTACAGAACGGCTTACAATCGGGTAGGCTGCTATCCAGATATACATTTTGCTAACGGCTTGAACACACTGACGGATTACTATTCTCTTCCGCATCGTAGTTTTTGTTCGAACAGAACACGGTTCGTCTCTGCCACAGACTTTGTCACACTGCGTTTTGACGACCGTTTTATCAGTTATGAGAAGCAAAGCATGAAGGAGCAAGGTGTGCCGCTGGAAAAAATTTATGCTCCTTTTCGAATCGACTACTTGAAGGTGCGTTGCGTTTGATAATTGGGAATCGGCACATTCACTGCAGTATGCTGGTCGGAACCTCCTTCCCGTCAAAAATCCCCTGGAATACCGAATTGTAATTATTCTTACCGAAGCTAATCTTTACCACAAGGCAAAAAAGTTGTATGACTTTGCACCGGCAAGCCAAGCCAGCGCAACATTAAGTTGGCCGGCTGGCGGCTTTTTATGCTTTAAAGCTAATCCAGAATTTGTTACCGCCGCTGTCAGGCTTCTCAGAGTGAAAGACTTGAATACAGTTAACGTTGAACTTCAACACCGTCCTTGCCGCGAAGCTGAATGCAGAAAAGATTGTCATAACTGTTGTCGCGAATATGATTTGTCAGTTATGCAAGTTGTTGCAAGGCTACGCATAGCTTATTCACGTCAAAATTTTGTTGCTCATTGCCACTTGTAGCAAATTACAGTAATATCTTATTCAGGTGCCTGCTGAATTTGATGGAAATGCATGCATGTATCACGTGAAAAAAAATCAAACAATCGAAATAAAAGGCGCAGCCCCGACAACGTATGCGTCTTTGCCTAGCCCGGGTACTTTTCAGTATTCTGTTAAGAGTTCTGTACGTTGTTCCACTGTCAACTGCTAAGACGAAGTTTTGTTACTAAAACATTATAAACTAACAAAGGTCAACAATGAAAGTGTTTTTACACAATTCCAGATAACAGAGGGGTGCATTAAAAAAAAAAAAAAACGGTGGAAAATGAAGTCATGGAATCAAATCAGAAATTCTACAGTAAGAAAATAAGACGTCAAAATTAATAATGCTGAAAAACCAATGTTTTTTGGAAGTAGAGCGATTTACTATAAGTTCTTTTTGAAGAACTGATCGCTACAGCTTAACTCATATTCTCTTCCGCATTATTTTAGGCTTCTGTGCAAGAAGTCTTAACTCATACAAATATAGTAAGATCATTCAATACAGTAGGATTGCAGTATTATTCATCCTCATATCTTCAGTCCTCTGAGGTTGAAGTGGATTTCAGAACTTCGGAATAAATAAACTCTCTGGTTATTCCAAGAACGAAATTTGTTTCAAAAAGAAGCTTTTTTTGAATCCTTCTTTTAATCTTTTTTTTAAAACTTTCAATATTAAAACTTTCTTTTTTAAATCTTCTCTCTTTATCCACTCCTTCGCCCCGTCCTCATTCTTGCTAGTCCCACAGTCACAGCCTTTCTTTCCTTGCATTTTTCTTTCTCTCTCCCTCTTTTCCCTTCCTTTTTCATTAAGCACTGTGATCGTCATACTGACGGAGTCCTGTCGCAATGTTAAGACGTATATGACTTGATGGACCGAAACGTTTTATCTCACTGCTGCCTTCTTTTTTATGTATTTTGTGCTGTGTTACAGCAGTACAAAACACATTGTAACGGGGTTGTCTGTGTGTGTTTGTGTGTTTCCGCAACTTTCAACTCGGGAACCACAAAAGCTAGGAAGCCGAAAATTTAGGAGAATGTTCTCCACCCACAAATTTAAATTCAGGCTTCTCGTACTCGCTGGTAGCACGTACGGTCCTGTAAAAGTTTTGGGAGTAGGGGAGAGGGGGGAGAATTATTATCTTGGGAACCACGGGAGCTAGAAAGCTAAAATCTTATCGGCATGTCCGCTACCCGTGTGCGACCCAGAAAATTAAAATTTACTCTTCCCGCACGGTAACACGTACGGCCCCGTAAAAGTTTTAGCAGGAAAAATTATTTTCTCGGAAACCACAGAAGCTAGAAAATTAAAATTTTTTTGGTATGTCCCCTGCCCACTTGTGCCCTAGAAATTCTAAATTCAACCTTCCTGTATCCGTGGCTAACGTAAGTGGCCCTGTGAAACTTTTGGCGGGTAAACTATTACCTTGGGAACGCGGAATCTAGGGCACTGAAATTTTAGGATAATGACCTCCTGCCCAAATATGACCTCGCAAATTCAAATTCAGCGTTTCCACGCTCTCGGGTATCACCTACCGCCCCGTGAAACTCTTGGCGGATAAATTGTTATCTTGAGAACCATGGAATCTAGGATGCTGAAATCTTGTGGGTATGTCCTCTGCCCATGTGCAACCCAAAAAATTTAAATTCAGCCTTCCCGTGCCCGCGAGTAATATATACGGCCTGGCGGATAAATTATTTCGAGGGCCGCGGAATCTAGGAATTTGAAATTTTGCGGGACTATTCCCTGCCTACATGCAACTCCTCAAATTTGAATTCATAGCAGTGAAAGTCATTAGCACAAAACACATGATCGCACCGGGTTCCCTGGTGTGCGCCGCTATTTATTTATACTGTTCTTGCTTCCTGTCTTCAATCGGGCCTTTGTCACTTCGGCTTCCAGGACCAACTTGAATGCTACAATCGGTCTCTCAGAGCTCCCAAATTTTACCTTTACTAAATGTGTTGCAGATTACTGTCACATGCTTATTGATCGGCCATTTGCGGATGGCACCACAGTTTTACGTTTCAAAAATTTCACAAGTGCTAAGGGCATTTTATGGGAATCAGGTGACCGTTGTCAGGACACAGAAAATTATGTTTCAGTAGCAGGTAATTTTTTTTCTTAACATTGCGTGTCTGAAATTTTCTACTGAAGAAGGCATTATGTGCGAGCCACCGTGTTGATACAAATCGTTGCGTCTGCGGGCAAAGAAGTGACCTATTTATGACCGCTTGCATAAGCTGAGAAGATCTGGATTAGCTGCGCTGTGTGTGCTGGTGCTTCGCTGATAATTCCACATTGAAAGAATAAGTTGTCATTGCGACTTTTTTTTTTGAATAGCATAGTTAGCCATGCCAAAAAGTACTGAGAAGAACGAAGGTACCGGTATCCCTAGTATCACCGTGCTAAAAGAACGACTTGCAGATTCAAGAAGTAGCCGCCAGCAAGTGTGGATGAACGAACGCAGGAGCTGACAGAGAGGGAGGGTTGCGGAGCCCAGGATGTTGGGAGTATATCCTGGTAACCGTACAAGCAGCTAGGCTCTTCTCGTCAGATGCGCGGCGTGTAGCACATCATCATAACTTGGAAAGTGAGGTGGCATTGAGTAAGATAGCGACCTGATTTACTGTCGTGTATCACTGAAAGTTACTCGCGAAAATGAGAATGGCAATGCCAGTAGCAGTATCTGAAGAAATAGAAGTAGCAGTCCAAGGGTTTGATGCAGCTGAGGTTTCATTCTTCTGATGCCAGAGTCCCCAAATACTATAACTTCTTACTGAGTTTCGAAATCTTTTACTGATTTTTTTCTAATAGGAGGAGCATTAGATGAAAAATTTTATTGCTCTCGAAGACTGATATACTCATTAAAAACATCTGACCATAAGCATCCATGATGCTGCTTACATGTGTGTTATGTGAAAACCTGGCTAATTTATATTTGCATTTTTTATCGACTAAAGACTGAAATACTTTTTCAGCGCTGGCTAGCGAGCCATGGCCTTTTGAGACGCGCTTTTGCGATGGGTCGTTAAAAAAAGCGGATAATTTTACAGTGGCATTACCACATGCAAAATTCGATATCCATATTTTCCAGAAAATTCAGTTCTCATCAATTTCATTTAATCTGACCATCCAGTTCTTGCGTAAGTTACATTCAAATACATGTCTAAAATGTGTCCAAAGAGGAGTTCATTATGGATTTTTTGTGGTCTCTTTTTTTGTCTCTGACCACTGCAAGGAATTCCTTGATAAATTGGCGCCATTTTCCACTTTTCTTTAGCATTTATAATTGCAATGATTACAGCAAAATTATCATTTCAAAGTCGCAGCTGATTTTCCTCCGATTTATTTCTGTATGGTTCCATTTAAATTTAGCATTTCAGTTCTTTCATCTCATTTTTGCACTTTTGACTTTCTAGTGCAAGAACCATAAGTTTTTTCTGTGAGGATCGCTGCTCACACCCCTAAGCAAATTCGCTGCTACAGGATAACAGCCTAATTGATGGCTGTTGCAATAATACGCAAAATTTTTTTCAGGCTGTTCAGTATACCTGACACTGCTTATATCATTATTGAATCTGATCTGTTACATCCTACCCCATCTCCCACGTACCCCTTTCCTTTTTTACCTTTTTTTCCTTATTGTCTGCTCTTTGTTTTCCCATACGTTGGATGATTCTTATATATTTACTTTTTAAACTAAGGTTTTTCTTTAATGAATTTGGGCTTATTGTCTCATCCTCATATATATATATATATATATATATATATATATGTATATATATATAT